GCCCATTCATTCAGCATATTGTCGTTTTCAGACTTTATGTCTTGTCAAAGAAAGACACAGAAATAAAACAAAAGAACAGAAGTCTCCAAATGAATGGGCTCGATGTGAGGAGGAGAAAAGTTGAAGTATTAAAATCGCTCATCAGATGTTCTGAAAAATCATTTCAGCTGCTCCAAAAAAGAGGAAAAAAAAAAGAAAAAAGAAAGAAAGAAACAAAATTTTATTTTGAAGGCTGTGTTCCAAGAACTTCCCCTTTGATTTTTTTTAAAAACCATCTGTCATGTTTGTTTCATTCCAGCCTTGAAGTAAATAGATTTAGAGAGTGTACGGCGGCCATTGAAACCTTCCGCAGAAGGACGGAGACAGCCTGCTCAGTCAGTGCCCTTCTGGTATACTTTAATCAAAAGGCTTTGAAATTAAGGGGAAAAAATACCCAAAGACATTTTGCTTGCTTGGGAATATGGTGTGCCTAACACAGAATGTTATTCTGACCTGTTGTTGAATGTCTCAAAACTTTTGCTCTGAGCACAAGGGGAGGTTTGTCATTGGCACGAGGGAATGTGTTCTCCCTTTTCATGCTTTGATTTAATCACCTGAATACACAGCTTTATTTCTTTAATAGCGGCAAGCCTCGGGAGCGCCATTCTTCACTTAGAATAAAGGAGCTGAGCTTTCCCATTCATCCTGACTGTTGAACCTCCTGGTAAAATTTTCGCTCACTTATTCTACCTCAGGAAGTTTGTCCCGCTCCCAGGAGCCACTGCCCTTTCCTGTGAGCATCTCCAATGTGTTTGGGTGGCTTCCCCGATAAGAACCTTGAACTGCAAGCTTTCATCCTTCAATGTCACATGGAAAGAGAGGACCCATGAACTGCCCCCTCCCACCCCCACCCCATGAGACAGATGAACTGTTCTCTGAAACAGGGACACTTTCACAGATCGATAACTGTTGGCGAGCCGGGGAGAAAACAAGAGTGTGAGAAACTCATTATAATATGAAAATATTCTAAATAAATAAATGGCAAGTACTAACACGCTCAAAATAATAGTGTGGAAGTGAGTGACAGCGTGTGAGCTTGCAAACACGGAGCCACTGCTTGCAGAAGTTCCGCAGTGATTAACAATGATGATGCTTATCACCTATTGCTTGGAGAGCTAGGTTCAAACTGATGGGCGGACTCTGCCTCTAAGAGTACCTGGAGCTGGAGTGCAACCTGGCAAACGTTCTAGATTGAGAAGTGGCCTGATGTACCTGAATGCATCGGAGCTTCACGTGCATGTGGAAGAAATTTCAACATCAGTTTGATGACACTGATGTCTTTATAGCGATAGTAGGATATTCTGGAATGAGCGTTGTAATAATCCAGCCCGAGTGTTGGAGGAGGGGCAGGTCAGGAGTCAGACGAAACAAGGTTGACTAAGTAATGATAATCAGTGGAACTGAGTGATAGCTGAGTGACAATACATAGCATATTGGCTCTCTCTCTCTCTCTCTCTCTCTCTCTCTCTCTCTCTCTCTCTCTCTCGTGTGTGTGTGTGTGTGTGTGTGTGTGTGTGTGTGTGTGTGTGTGTGTGTAAGCACATATGCCGGAGGTGGGCTATGTGGGTTGAATATGCAGCTGCACATACACACCCGTGTCTTGTGTCAGTCAGGGCCAGAGGTTGGCCTGGAGTCTTCCTTGATCATTCTCCACCTTGTTTTGTGAGGTAGGTTTCTCACTGAACCTGGAGGCCATCCACATCACTAGACTGACTGGCCAGCACCCCTTTCCTCCTCCATTCCTGGACCTAAGCACTGGATCATAGGTCCACGCCACTGTGCCTGGCTTTTTATGTAGCTCTAGGGGTCTGAACTCAGGTCTTCTTGCTTGTGCAGGAAGTGCTTTGCTCAGGAGCCATCTCCCCAGCTCCTAGAATGGAATTTTACAGGAGAAATTGTATATATATATATATACAATATATATATTGAAAGGGGGAAGTGACTGTAATAATGAAGAGGATTGGGGCACCAGAGCATTCTCACAGAGATTTGAGACAGAAAAGCACCACCTGTAGATATCACTAATTTTACAAATTTCCCTTACATGTCACTAAGTAACAAGATAGGGACATGTGACCCTGAGAATCCGTCATGTTCCAGCTGACAGAGATGAGAAAGAGAAAAGAGAGATGTGTCTCCAGTGAGTTCTTATTAAAGAAGGAAGCTTTAACGGACGGGGCTCTTTGCTCTTTCTCTCCGAATAGACAGAGTTCCTTAAATTGGTAGCATGATTTCTCTAACAATTTCATACCTATCACAAAATCTAGCACTAAGCACTGCCCATAACAGCCCCTTAGTACCTATTGGTACTGAGTGAATAAAACTTCAAAAAAAAAAAAAATCGCAGATCTGCTGGAACATTTTGGATTCATGGGAGTGCCTGGGTGGCTTACTCATAAATAAATCTGCCGGAACAATGTTAAAAGCTGCCAGATGTCATTGTTTTTATTGATAAATAAGAGGTGCATAATAGGGAATGTATTTTAAACACAGTTTCATTGTATCTCAGAGTGCCCTGTGCAACAATATGTAATTTAGAGCTGCCTGGCGAGGCAGGCCTACATTTTCAAGTTAAATCAAAAGGGCTGGCTTATGTCACAGACGACGACGACCCACTAGGGTTCATTTTGCTAAAACAGCCTTCTTTGAAGACTTCAGATTTTTCAAAATGCTTTCAATTCGGTGATGCTGTTGAAAAAATATTTGCCTCCAAATCAGCGTGTGGCGTAAACCAGAAGGCCCTAGGCCTGGCTTTGCGTTAGCAGGGAGGGGCGTCACTCCAGCAGCTCCTTCAGACAGCCTTCCCCACTGTGGAGGGAGTCAATCTGGTGGAAAAGGCCCGTGGCTGGGGTTAATCTTACCATCATTTTTTTTATTTTTTGAAAAGCCCAAAGCTTGTGTTTTAGTAGTGGACAGATTGATAGCTCAAACTGTGATTCACAATACTTTAGTGAACATCTTGATAATTGTACATTGTGTCTGCGATACGATTTGAAAAATGGGACCCCCTCATGCTTGATGGGAAGAGCAGTTGCTAAGATGGCAGAGAGCAGTGTCTTCCTCTCCACACCTGGGCGATGTTTTTCCTGGACCTTACTTGGGAGCTCAGAACCTTAGAAGTCTTTAGTGCTGAGCAAACTAAGCTGAGTCCCACACAGCCTGTTGACTTTCTCTACCGGAGGGAACAGGTGAGGAGAGCCTGTATGCTGCTCACTCTCGGAGCAAGGTTTAGAACCAGGTGTGTTCACTTCGAATCGCGCTTTCACCCTGAGCACCCCAGGAGAAAGAAAGGCAGAGTGTTCTACAGGAGTCCCAAAATGTGTTACAGGGTGCAGGGCATGCCTGCTCCTCTCTGTGTGCGCCCCTCCAGCAGCCAGCAAGGCATGCAGCGCCCCCTGCCCCAACTGTTTCCAAAAGCGACACTTACAGGACTTCAGAGGGGAGATGCAGGCGCAGCGGATGTGATGGAGGGAGTTGCATTTAAATTGTATTTTTAAAAATGGTCTCGTGATACTTGAGGACTTGACTCAGTTTTAGCCATTTGGGGAAATTTGTACATCTAGTTTAGAATTATAATTCTTTGTTTTGGAAAATTCTCTTCAGAAATAAATGAGACCGAAGGTTCAAAAGATTTTTTTTTTAAGGCCATCCATCCCTGCTGTATTCTGAGGAGTCTTATTTTACACCTTTCTCTTTCCTGCTCTTCCAGGCCCTACGGCTCCACATAGCCATCATTTCTTCTGACTCCTGAAATTTTCTCACCCCTCCCTTTCCTTCCTTTTCTCCCCTCCCCCCTCCCCTTCCCCTCTTTTCTCCTGATTTTCTTTCTCACTTATATTTCTTCTTATAAAATCCACTTCCTTTAAAGCATCTGAAAAAAAAATCACATGTCACACTTGGGTAAGCAAAATGTTATCCTCCTTGAGATATAAATAGGCCTGAACTATTTGAAACAGAGAGTTAAGCAACACCTTAGTGTTTCAGGTATCAGAAATAGTGGATGAGAGGGCCATATTTTGGAACAGAAGCATTTGTCCATGAGACAACCAACCTGTTGCTTGTTAAGTTGTAGTTAGCTGTATCTCTAAGCTAAGAGATGCTTCTACGTTCATGTCAGAGGTAAGGGCATTTCAAACTGACAGGAGGAAGCAAAAATAAAAAAGCAGACGTAGAGAAGGGATGGCTTTAAATACAACAATAGTCTTCATGGTTGCTCTCATTTTTGAAGTATTTTAGAGGTAGGTAGTGAAGATCAGGTGAAATTTCATCACAAGCAGCTGGAAGGCACACAAAAGTCTGCTGTGTGTGTGGCTATGCCCCTGGGCTCTTCTATGGGTATGCTCAGTACTCGGAGCTAAAGACTGCTGCACCTCAAGGGTATGGTGCAGAAGTCTGCCCAGCCTGTAAGGAGGAGGGCCTAATAAGTATTATCACAGAGTCAAGAGTACCCTTGGCGTTCTGCAAAAACTGCCAATGAAAAAGCTGAGTGCCTTCTCTGATCATGTGTGTCATGACGGCTCCTGTCCTGCCTCCCCACACCGTGCCTTTGATACCGTCTACAGATTTTCAAAAGGTTCCTAAAGCAGCCTGCAGCAGGGCCGTGCTCTTAACTGGGAACCACGTTCGTACTCACGCACAGGGCAGCTTTTAAAACAGCAGAGTGAGAATGTGCCAGAGACATGTGGGGTCCTTCTAAGCATTTGGACTCTGAAGGCTTCAGAAACAGCTTCAGTGATAGCCAGGGAGGAGGTGGGCAGAGAGATATGGACGGCCTGAGGGAGGGAGAGAAGGAGGGAGGAGAATGGGAAGAAAGAGGACACCATTGTTATTGAGGCATGTTGGCTTGCTGCCTCTAGATCTCCAATTGATAAACACTCCAAGGGAGTCTCACTGGGGCACACGCCACTCGTAAGGGAAGGCCCCACTCCCAGTAGATGGCCAACACGAAATGAACTCAGTGGAATTTTGGGAGGTTCTTTGTCTCATAATGTTTTATATTTTATTTTTAGCTGTACAGATCCTTTGCCCTCCTTGAGACACCAATGCCCTAAGCTGTTTGAAATAGAGAGTTAAGCAGTACCTTGGAGTTTCAGAGGTAATCATGAAAGGGCTATGTCATGGAACAGAAGAATTTGTCCATTTGTCCGATTTCGTGGCTTCTGTGTTTGTGATTTTGTGGGATTCCTGTGTGTGTGTGTGTGTGTGTGTGTGTGTGTGTGTGTGTGTGAACATGTGTGTCTCTGTGCCTATGTATGCGTTTCTTGGGCTTTTTCTTGAGATTTCTTTTATCTGTTTGTTTTGTGCTATTCCAGTTTGTTTTTGTTGTGTCTGATTTTTATCTCATTTTATAATTATTCTTTAGATGCCTGTTTCCCCATGAGGGGGTGTGTGGATCCAGATGGGAGGGGAGGTGGGAAGGATCTGAGGGGAGTTGGGGGAAGGGAAACTGTGATCAATATATCTTATGAAAAAATATCTATTTTAATTAAAAAAAAAAGAACTCAAGATTTCTGAACTCAAACAAAGGCTGACTGTGAATGTGTGTTCCAGGAATTGGATCAGGACTTCTTCTGTAGGTCAAGGGTGACCCTTATAAATTTTAGAGTTTTTGTTCTCTAAATGAATTACACCTATTTCAGGAAGAACATTTAGTCCTGCGTGCTTATATGTGCATAACTTTCAAATAAGAATATTTTTCTTTGATTTCCTTTTACATTTAATTGGCACTGAGACATCTACACTCAGCTTCCAGTTATTGTGGTGTGTTTCATCTACCTTTGATTCTCAGTATGTTTTTCTCAAAAAGACAGTGCAGGGCCCCTGGTGAGCTCATGGGGAACAAGAGAAAGTAAATTTGTACTGGGGAAAAATTGATGAAAATCTCAGCACTTGCTCCTTTACGTAGGCTAATAAAAGGAATGTCTTAGGGTCTCCTCCAAGAAGTTCAACCAAGATAGGGCCCAAGCTCATCTCACTGTAACCACACTCACTTGTAATCTAAATCTGCGCTTTAATATCTGTTTTCCTTGCACTTAATGACTCTGTTTGCTGCAGGTTATCAGCAGTAGCCCCAGATGATGAATGGAAACATTTCCCCTGAATCCCAAGACCTTCTTCCTGTATGTGAAAGCAAGCTCCTCTGTGCTAGAAGGTGATATTCCCCGTGAGAAAATCGTGGGGACTTCAGGAAACAGGTGAGACCATAAAACAGGATTGTGGATGAAGTCACCTGCTGGCGATTGTGGAGCGGGAGATATTCCGAACATCTTCAAATTCCTTCTCGAGTATTCAGGGCGGGATGATTTGAGGTCAAGTCAGTTCTTGCTGGAAGGTCTTTTCTGCTTGCTTCCTTGGGGCATCACTGGAATCCCCACGGGGGAAAGGAGTTTGTGAGTGCTTGTTGAGTCAGAATGCCCGTGGATAGTGCACCGGAAATACGATCAGTTAAAGCTGTACTGGTTTAATGCGGTGATCTTGTCGCCCTATGGGCTGAAGTTCTCACCCATTGTCGTCTGTGTCCGGGCTAAGTCAGTATCTGAAATCAAGGTACGTTTTTTGTTTCTTAATTTCTTAAAAAGAGTAACACTTCAACATTCAGTTTTATAGACTACAATAGACTTTAAAAAGAGAATGTCAGTCTCTGATCATTAATTTTATTTGTCATTAATATTTCTGGCTGTTTAATGATCTGGTATTCATAGATTTTTTTTAAAAAAAATTCTTGCATCAAAATAGAAACATAAATATCAGCCTTTGTTCTCTAATTAAAGAATTGAGATAGTTATCTAGAGACATTTGAAAGACAACTCAACCAGCTACCAGATGGAATCATACAAATTTTAAATAGCATTATAGTACTTATTAAGCAATTTATAAAGAGAAATGACAATGTGAATTAGAAAAAAGTTGAAACATTAAGAAATAATTCCACAATTTCAGAGCTGGGGGAATGAAAGGAGTTATGAATAGATGAGGGCATTGCCTCCTGCTACTGCCTTTGGGTGTTCAGAAAGTCTTGGATTTCATTGTTACACAGTTTTTTCCCCTGTTTGGGAGTGATCTAATCTAACACTCACTGTTCTCATACTCTACATTCAACTGCTTAGGACAGTATTGTTCTTACAGTTGATGCTCAATAAGTAGATGTAAATGACTGAAGAATGTTAATTGTAACATTTATAAGATTTTTTCATTTCCCTCCTATAGGAGAATCATTCTAGTGTTTATCCTGTGGCATGATAGTGCTAATCTCAAAGGTACAAAAAAAGGTAAGCAATATTGGTCAGTTGTCACAAATGCTATGTTAAGTGTCTATGAGAGAAGGTGGTGGACATAGAGCTTGTGCTTTAAAAATTGGTGATCTAACACATCCCTTCCTCAAAAGCCTTAGGTGTCATTGAGGAAGAGGGGGGCAGAAAGATTGTAAGAGCCAGAGGCAATGGATGACTAAAGCAAAACAGAGCATGTGTGAACTCAACAGTGATAACGGCATGCACAATACCCACACAAGCTCAAGCCAGGAAAAGACCTGCATGGAAGGGAGATGTGACCATGGCACCCTCCCTGTCGCTGAGGAGCTACAGGTAAGTGTTAGCTGCTGGGAGAAGGAGAGTTAACTTTCTTTAAGATTTTGGCTTTTGCTAGGTTGAACATCCTCCAGCGTCTGCATGTTCAGTAATATATGGGCAGCATAGATTGGATTAAATGGGTTTTTAAAAAGCAAACAAACAAACAAAAAAAAATGAGGACACAAAGTTAGGTGGGTATGGAAGGGGGGTGTCTCAGAAGAGTTTAGAGAGAGTAAATATGATCAAAACACAACGTATGAAATTCTCAAAGCATTAATAAAAATATTTAAAAAATGAGTCTCAAAGCAAAAAGAAGCCCAGCTGTAAGGGCAGCTGATTTTGTGTATTCCTCTCTTTATATTTATTCTTGTGAAAACTTAGCCTCAAGAAATGTGAGTTTTGATTCTGTGAGGTCTTCAGCCACGCATTCTTTTCTGAAAATGTATTTGTCTGGCATATCAAGTTGTTTAAATGAGCCTAACTCTACTCTAGAGGATGTTTGGAACAGATGTTCATGCCTCTGTTGAACTTGAAGCAGCCAGCCATTCCTTTGTGTACCTTTGGTGTATGTGTTTTTTTTTTGGTGTGTGGTTTTGTGCCAGTTGTATATCCATACGCCAATTTCGTGGCTAAGGTATGGGGAGCTCTCTGGCCATTGTTTCCTGTTCAATATTATTACCTAAGATGCAACCATATGAGCAAATGACCAACTTGGCAGCAGACAAGACTTAAGACTGTATTTTTAAGCATTTGGAGTAAATAGAAGAAAAAGGATGGGATTCAAATGAAAAGCTTTTTCTTAAGCTATAACTGAGCTCCCTGAGGATACTGAAACATTATCTGGTCCTGTTTAAAACTCAACATGGGACCTGGGCTGGAGCTGTTTGGAAGAGAAACATTATTATTAAAGATAGTAGGAGAAAGCCCGCGTTCCTCCTGATCTACCTCACTCTGCTGTACAGTAGCCATCACTTTCTCCCTGGGGGAGGAGGCCCAGCTCAGTTACCGTGTCCACTCTCCTTTCTGTGTTTCCTCTTTGAGCCCATAATAAGGCTTGCGTGCAGACTCTTGGACTTCCAGGCTTGGGGTTTGTCTCACTGAGATGGACAAGAGTCCACTTAATCACCCATCTTTAAATCACTAGAGATTGGAGATGGCTTTATAGTTACTAGCATAGATTAAAAGATGGATTGATCCCAATGAGGGCTAACAGAATATAAACGATGGGAAAAAATATTCATTATTTCTGCAGTCATTTGAGGTCTGTTATGTGAGGCCAATCTACCTTGATAATGAAGTATAATAATTGTGCCTCTAAATCATTCCATGTTCCTTATTTAGCAATTTTAATATTTACTTAGTAAGTGAAGCTTAAAGGGACCCAAGAAAATGAGGAATTACCCATTTGTTGGAGTTTTACCTGATGTAACTGTCTTCATTTCAGAACCATGAGTACTGTGTACCTGCAGATCTGTTTACCTGAATGTACATGTACGCCTATTTGAACAGAATGGAATGGTTGGCCTTCCTAAATGACAATCACATTGAGACTTCGCAGCAGAGATGTCAGTTTTCACAATCCTCAATTCAAATGATGAGCTACCCACTTTCAGTGCGTGGCCATTTCAACTTTGTTTCTTCAGTGGTTTTAGGTGATCAGTTTTTCAGAGCTTAACCCTAAGAGAGAAATAATAATAATAACAACAACAACAGCAACCCTCCTTCTCCCCCTTTCCTGTGTGGCTAAAGGGGAAAATCTGCTGGCCCTGATGAGCAGCTCATCAGCTAGACTTGACAAGCCACAAAAAGACCATAGAAAAGATTAGAAACATCTACAGTGTTAGTTACAGGATATTATCCATAGAGCATGTAATCCAATCCAAACCTTCCCACAACAGTTTCACATTGCGCCAGAATTTTTAGGATATTTTCTATTTTCAACCTGTGATCCCATGTAATACATAGTCTTGGCATTTCTTATCACTGCCAACCATGCATTGCTCATTTAAAAAAATGTTTGTTCCAAATTTCAATACTGCACATCCCTTTTGCCTTAGACCAAATGCCTATCACACATTCTCATCATTTTAATTAAACTCGGGCCAATCCAGGGCAAATGTTTGATTTTGACTCAAAAGGTGCATGCAAATCACGAATCCTCTGCTATTCAGGTTGAACACTTCCCATAGCCCTCTTTCAGCATGTGGAATGAAGCAGGTTTGGGGACTGTTCATCATTAGAGAGGGACCTGCGATTCAAAAATAGAAGGAGAAGAAGCCCATGTCCACCCCGTGAGTAAACTTGAGGCATCTGTCGTTTTAAGAGCCTTAGTCTAAAGAAACAAAAGGCGAGGCCCAGAACAGCCCGCTCTTCATTTTATCACGGCATCAAGCGAACCAAGCGCTAACTGGCCACAGATGTCAGGCCCCCGAGCCCACGGAAACCGTCCACGGCCTTGGCACCCAGGAGCTCCGAGCCCCTTTGCTCTTCTAGTGTTCTCCTTCTGCATGGCCTTGAGCAAGGAAACTGTTCCTCTCCTTGGCCTATAAAATGGAGGGAACGCTGGGGCCGTGTCTGTTACACATTTCTCACAGCTTGTATGGCCAATTAGAGATTTCAAAGCGGAAGTTCTACAGTGGCAGAGTTCATTCTCATGAACCAGAAGCTTTGGAAAACATTGATAACTGGAACTCAATCAAAGAGAAATCTGTAATGAATATGGAACAAGTTCCTTCAAATCCCCCTTGGAGTATTTTTGCCACTCTTAGTGATATGTGTTGCTCTATGGACAAAGAGTCCTGCGGTGGGTGATGAATTGGGGGGTGAGGTTGCTTATCTGTTAGGGATATTCTACAATTCAAAATCCTTATAGGACTGGAGCTTTTTTTGATTTTTGCCACTGAGGCTTGGGGGAGAGGTGTGGAGAGGTGTTGTGGAGATCTCAGCGTGTACAGCAGGATATTTAGAAGTTATGGCGGGATGAGAGGGGGCAGGTGCTGTTAATACCCATCGAAATGAAGATCGATGTTTGAGGGTTAAGAGGAAGAAGAAGGCCAGGTCCTCAGTTTACCGAAGCTCCCTTGGCTTTCATTACAATCTCTATTCGTGGTACTCGGACCAAAGTGTTCAAATAAGTATCTTTCATTCCTGAGTAAAATGTCCCATACTGGGGCTGGAGATGCAGCTTTGGGGTACAGCACTTGTTTATAGAAGGACCTGGGTGCTATCTCCAGTGTTGGAAAGACGGAGGGAGGGAGGGAAAGAAAAGAAAGTCTCTTCATCACCGTAGCTATTCAGATTGTCGTCTAGTGCTTTGGCATTAGCTGGCTCTGCCTTCCTCTTGGTACCCTAGACAGTACAATACATTTTTTTTTTTGGTTTAATTGTTATCCATATCATCTCTATGGAGTAAATGTTACTACTCTTTCTGTTTTCCAAATGAAGAATAACCAGGCTTGGTGAATTTAAGGGACTTGCTCAAGGTCATGGCCTCATTCTTTCCTTTGCAGTTGCAGACAATTAATGGGAGAGACGTGGACTGCTCACGTGCTGTGATGCTGCAAGGCACCTGTCACTTATGTACAAGTGACGAAAATAACCAGCTCCGCATACTTAAAGGATTCAGTAAGTTTTCCAAGCAAACGTGAAGTCGTCATCACAGTTGGGATAACTAACCTCTCTATCACCTCCAAAGGCTTCCTTGAGTCCTGTGTGGTCTTCCCTTCAGCTGGGACTCTTCGGAGACTTGCCCATGTGAAGAGCCTATCTATGGCCTCTTCCCTCCTGTCACTGAACCTTGTCCATTGCCTAGAGCGAGCATTAATTATGGACATTTGGAAGGCTTTAAGATTTAGTCTGCTATACATGAAGTTTTAGCAACATTAGTGTTCACATCTTAGATGGATGTAAGCTTCTACATATATTTGACTATTGACCTAACAGCAGAGAAATCAGATCACATGGGAGGTGTACAGTTTTGAAAAAAACAAAAACCAAAAAACTGTCACTATCCTTTCCAAGTGGCACTACTGTTTCACTTCCTATTCTTCCCAACATTGGTACAGTCTTTTTCCATTTCCAATATGTAGTCATATCCAATTAGGACTTACTCTGCTTTAAAAAAAAGATAATTACATTGCTTATTTACTACTATACCCCTTCTGTGGAGAACAGCCCACTCAAACCTTTTCCTCACTAAAAGCAATTGTGTGCCAGATTTTTGACTATTGGCTTTGGCTGTTGTTTGTAATCTCTAGGTACAGACTATGGAGATTTTGAGTGTTTTCCAATGGCCTATGCCTTGTTTTCTGTACTGTTAACAGTATCCTTTAAAGAACAGATTCTTTCAACTCCTATGTTCTTCAGAATATTCCATTTTGGGGTGATGTATTTAAGAAACACTTGCATATTCCAAAGGCTCTCTTCTCCTTTTCCATCTATAAGATTTTCATTTGAGGTCTATGTGTTAAACTTTTTCACAGCGATCCATTTCTGGGATGATATATGGATATAATATAATATATTGCTCAAAGTTGACTTTTTTCATTATACAGGGGTATCCAGTATTTCTCAAACCATTTCTTGGGAAGATCACTCTTTTTCTAGTGATTTGCCTTGATAACTTTATTTTTTAAAATCACACATGTTTTTATTAATATGGGTCAAGTGCTATAATCCATTTTATCTTCTATTGATCTGTT